GTAGCAAGTACCTGGCAAATTGACTCTGGCATGGTTTTTCTTTGTTTTTGGTTTCTATCTCCTTGTCCCAACAACATAAACCCTCCCTTGAAATAAAGAAAAACTGTTAAACAAAGACTATCAACAAATCATCTGTATCTGATAGAATATGCAACATACCACACCTGTAGTCCTACATCTCTCTGCCAAGAGGGAGGACATGTGTTTCATCCCCGGTTTTCTGAAACCCAGATTGGTCCTTATAAATCTGGCTACCTTTTAATCTGGCTGTGTACTTTAATACTACTTAAGAAGAATACACACACACATACACACACACACACATATATATACAATAAAATACACCAAGACACCCTAAAATGGGGGAGGGGGAGAATTTGGGAACATGCTATTATAACCAATTATAAACCAAATATAACCAATTACAAAATTTTCTTTTACATTACTTTTCATAACTCTTTTGAAAGCAGAACCAGGAAAATACTCTACACAATGACTACATCAATGTAAATGGAAAGAGCAATAAAAGAAATCTGAACACTAAATAATTATAATAACCGAGTTTGGCAACTGAGAGGAGATGAAAAAATCTATTTTCTACACCTTTTTGTTGAATAGAAGGGGAATAGTAGTTGTCAAATGTTACATATACAGATATGTCAGGAGTGTTTGATTTTGCTGACCAGTTTTCATAATCTCTGTAATGAGGGAAGAGTTTATGTGGAAATGAAAAGATATATACCAAATGATGTCATAGTAGAGACTTTTATAAGTCACCTCATCTAATCATCTCATTTTATTGATTAGGAAACTAAGAATCAGTGAGGTTAAATGACTTACCCAAAGTCACATCTTTAATAAGTGATGGAGGCAGAATTCAAACTCCCATAATCTGACTCTATATTTAGTGTTCTTTTATGCAACTATTGCCAGTGATAGGAATTTACAAAACCTATATGAGTTTCAGTGAAACGATTAAAAGTGATTAACTTGACAAAATTTAGAGTCACATTTATCTCCACTTATGAGCTACCTGAAGAGTGGAAGTTGTAAGTCTGAATCTCATGTAAAATTCACTGCCTCTGCATATCTGAGTACAAGATTATGTGTGACTACACCCCCTCCCACAACTTCGCACAGGCCTTGGGATTTTCCTGTTATGACTTATTCGATCTGCATTTTAGCTAGCACATAAAAATGTGTGGAAAGAATACTCCAAGCATATCAATCTTGATTTATGATCAGTTCTCCCCTTGTATTATGTTGCTAACCAAGTCCGTTCTTTTTGTATTTTAAGGTGAGCATTGTTTTCAACCTGTTATAAATTTCAGACCCATTATAAATCATTCATCCATGACTTTTAAAGGTGTCATTGAAAAATTACGGGTTGGATTCATTTACAAAGTCATTAACTAACTTGGGAGAGTTAAAAATACATCAGGTCCAACCAGCTTCTAAGCATTGGGAGACAGTGTGGTACAGCAGAACTAGACTAGTTTGACAATCAGAGGACCTGATTTCAAATCACAGCTCTATTACTCATTAGCTATATTACTACATAATACTACTGCTCCTTACTGTTTCTATCACCTTGGCCAAATCATTTTGGGTAGCTGGGTGGTATAGTGGATAGGTCAGGAAGACCAGAGTTCAAATTCTGCCTTACTAGAAACTTACTAGCTTTGTGACCCTAGACAAGTCATTTAACTTCTCTTGGCTTCAGTTTCGTCTTAAAATTTTTTGTTTTCCAGGATGAGAAGGCTACTGGGATATGATGGCAGAGGCATCTTCTAGGGTCAGAAGGCTGCCAGAAAATGGTAGAGAATAAAAATCCAGAGAGTCAGGAGTAGAGCCCACAGAGGAATGAAGGAGTATTAGCAGAGCTTGCTTGGACTCCTTAAAATAAATGATTCAGGAGGAACTGACTAATCAGGGAAAAGGCCACAGGAGTGGAGGGATCTTACAGGGTCAGAAGGCTACTGTGGCCCCTTTCTCTGATCAGTCAGTTCTTCCCAGAGCCTCCATTTTAAGGGAAGATCCAGTTCAGTCATGTTCACTCCCTCATTTCCCTTCAGGATACACTCTTGATTCTCCAGGCTTGTTTCTTCACCATGCCCCTGCATAGGTACCACCTTCCCTGTCACTCTGTTTTTAGTTTCCTTTTTTATGTTGTCTCCCCCCATCAGAATGTAAGTATTTTCAGGTCAGGAGCTGTGTTTCTTTTCTTTTTTCTTTTTTTTTAGGCAGTTGGGGTTAAGTGACTTGCCCAGGGTCACACAGCTAGTGTCAAGTGTTTCGCCTGAGGCAGGATTTGAACTCAGGTCCTCCTGAGTTCAGGGCCGGTACTTTTTTCACTGCAACACCTAGCTGCCCCAGGAGCTGTCCTTCTTTTTGCTTATATTCTCAGTACTTAGTACAAAGCCTGACATATAGTAAACACTAAGATCATTTCAAGTACCATAGCATTTACTTTATTGCAAAGGGAGGTAGAGTGATGTAGTAGAAAGAGTGCAGAATTTAAAGCCAGAAACCCAGGGTCAAATCCTTTCTGTTATTTATTCATTCCCTCCATGACCTAGGTAAGTCACTTACCCTTTTTGGGCCCCAGCTTCGTCATTTGTAAAATCAAAGTGTTAGACTAGATGACTACTGGAGTCCCTTCCAGTTTTAAGTCAGCTATCCAATCTAATAGAAATCTAGAATAAAAAGCGTATAATAATAAAGCATATTCTATAAAATAGCTCATATACAATAATAGCAATATTGTTTGAAGAATGTGAATGACCAAGTTATTCTTGCAAATATATTGCAAATATTCAAATCAACTACAAAGGACCTATGATGGAAGATGCTATCCACCTTCAGAGAAAGAACTGATAAATAGAAGTATGCAGAGTATGGTTTTGCATATATTTATAAATCTGTGTCAAATGCTGGACTTCTCTAGTGTGAGGTGGGAAAGGAGGGTGGGAGACGGTTCAGAACCTAAAATATAAAAAAAAATTTAAATTTTTAAAAAATTAAACAAAACAAAGAATTCATAAAAATCTGTACAAGTCAAAAAGAGAAACAAAAACTGAATTTCCTATATTTTCTTGCTGTATTAACAACACAAAATGTACCCTTCATTCAAGTCAGTCAGGTCTCCTCAATGTTCCACAAATACGTCCTGTTCATTCCCATTGTCCTTCAGGTTGCCTGCAATTTTGTTTCTTTGATGATTAGAATGTTTCATAATTTTCGGCTTTCTATCATCACCAGGAGAATATTGGTGTTTAAAAGTTGAGCTTTTCTGTCAGGGAGCATCTAAGGATAGTTGGAAAAGCCATTCAATTTCCCAAAGTCAATTCAGCCCACTCTTCCTCCTTTCCAATTCTGGGCCCTGCTCATTGTCAATTGTCAATACCTGTATAAAACATGCACAATGATGGACTATTCATTTGCATGTCATGATCTGAACAGCTGGCATTTTCTATCAACTTACTTTTTCCTATCCCTTTTGAGTGACCAAACATCTCGTTAAGGAGACCTTGAAGTATGCTTGGACTTGATGCAAAAATAGTATACCAGAATCCTCAAACATGACTACCTGAGAGGCCTGATTTTCTATAGGAAACCCCTTTTCCATTTGAAATTTTTGTAGGACAGTGTGCTCTATGACAGTAACAAAAACCTTTGGCAAGCACATCTTCCTGATTGATTGCCTTAGTTAAAATTTATAATCGGTGGGTGACTGAATAAGTTTGTTTTTATTACTGTGTCTGTCAAAGAATCTTGTGTGATCTTAATATATACATAAGAGACATCTTGATGGAAAAGAGCCTTAAAGTAGACAGGGAACTAGCACAGGCTACCATGGTTTTGCCCTAGGTACCAATATCCAGCACTTTCCCCACTTTGTCCTTGATGAGCTTTGGCCTTGAAATTCATTCTGTTCTGGCCTCAATTTTTGTTTACGTAGAACCTCTCTCCTGAGCTACCCTTGCATCTTAAAAGTACTTTCCAGTTACCTATATACAATAACCCATGTATGGTACAATGGAAAAGATTCTGGATTTGGATTGAGAAGACCTGGGTTTGAATCCTGGCTCTCATTACTTGTGTGAATTTTAGCAAATCTTTTTTACTTGTCTGTGACTTTATTACCGTATCAGTAAGTTGAAAAGGTTTGACTAGATGAAGTCTGAGTTCTATTTAGGCTATGATCCATGTATGATATGGCTTGCAATTCATATCACTCTTGGCCAAATAGAATTTTTGACTACTTACATCGCCCTTCCCTTAACATGCTGAGAATAGTGAAGCTTTTTAGTTCAGACTTGTGATTTCATCAGTGTTCAGGATTCCCAGTGTGGAATCTCTCTACACTGATGCAAATGTACATCTCCTTTGTAAATTATGGTTTTAGAGTTTCCTGGGGACAGTGCCAGGTTAAATGATTTACCCAGGGTTACCAAGCTAGTATGTATCAGACACAGGACTTGAACCTAGTCTTCCTGATTCAAAGACCAGCCCTCTTCACAACAAAAAGCTGCATCTCAAAAGAACAAGAACAACAAAACCTTACATTTTATTTAATCAATGCCAACACTACCAACTTAGACTACTTCAAATATTGGTTTGAGATATCTTTTTTTTTTGATCAAACATTATATATTTAAAATAATGTAATGGTTCTGTAAAAAATAGTCTTAGGGTGACTAAAACCACAAAGACATCAATATTGTATGAGAACCTAAGGACAAAAAAACAAAAAGACTCGGGTTTTTTGTTTTGTTTTTAGCTGTGTTGGTGGCAAAATGCAGAACAAGGAAAGAGCTACTACTTGGAGAAGATAAGACTATGACAAATAATGATAAAGAAGATAGAACTATGTAATTCTTATATTGCTTCTATTTTCCTACTAAGCAAAATTACCTTTGGATTAGGAAGGATAAAACAAAAATGATTAATGGGGAATTGATATTCAAGATAAATTGTTGTTCATCCTTTTCCAAAAGGACCATGATCATGATCCTCCAAGAAGATCATAAATGGTAATTACTTCATTGGGCATGAATTGGATTTCAGTGATGCAGAGCTGCACAGAGTTGTCGGCCTCACTCTATCCTCCAGAGTCATCACAGTCCAGTGGCAAGAGAAAAGTCAAGACAGCTGGCAGTGGCCCAGGATGCGGTGGGTAAGCTTGTTCTTTCTAAATTAAGGTTTCCCCCGTCTTAGTTTGTTTGAGGCAACGCCTGTTTAATGACTGAGGACTAGACAAAAGATGAGTTAAGTTGAAGCCAAGATAAGTAAAGAAATAGTAAGAATACACTCTAGCTTCCTTTAATGAGTCAGAGACAGCGTAATATATTGGGAAGAATGCTAAATTTGGTGTCCAAGAAACTGGATTCAGACTCTAATTTTGCCAGCTTTGTCACCCTTGTGTTCTTTGCTAAGTCACTTAACCCCTCTGGGCATCGGTTTTCTGATATGTAATATAAGGGGAAATGTACTACATGATCATTAAATTCCCATCCCAAACTGATCTTATGATCTTAAATAACCTGGCCTTGATGAATCACATCTTAGGATGCTGGCAGAAGTTGATGTGAGTGCCACCATTAGAGACCTTGAAAAGTTGTAGAGAATGGAATCGTTATCACAAGACAGCAGACAGGAAAGCATTGTCCTGATCCTCAGAAAAGGGGAAGAAGGTGACTATTTCAAGTAAGCTTGACTGGAAAAAATTACTACAATGGATTATTTATGGGATCCTTTTTTAATACCTATGTAGGTAAAGGTAATTGTTCTGTCACCATGAATCATTAAGAACAGATTGTACCAAATTGAACTACATTTCTTTTTTTTAGAGTTAGTAAACTAAGGAGTCAAAGGAACACCCATACACATATCTAGATTTCAGCTAGGCATCTACTAAGAGACTATATCCCAAGTGTACATAGTGGAAATCTTTGCTTGGCACTTTATTTGTTATGCTCTTTAACTACATGTCATTTGAATTGAACAAATGTGTCCTCTGACTGACTTGTGAAAGTAAATATGTTGAGGAAGTAGAGTGAGGAGGGCTAGCTAATGAGCTATGGCTCTGAATGAATGACCCACACAGTGCCTTGAATCTAGGGTGGTTCAACAAACCAACATAGAACATTTTTGGAACTAGATAATAGTAGAGTTAGAGAAGTTAGCAACATATTAATCTAAAGGACTTCAGAGAATATGAAATTAATGAACTACTATTCATTATCTGCCCAAAAGTGGAATGGACTGTGATGAGTGGCTGGTGGGTTCCTCTTCCTCAGAGTTTTCCAGGGCATTATTGAATAGAAGTATTTGCCTCTTTCTTAGTCGAGGGAATAGTGAGGCAACATAGTACAACCCCCTATCCAGATTGATGATGAACCCCAAAGTGGAGAGCCTTTGATTGAGCAGGCCCTAAGTCACTCAGGCAGACTCATGGTTTCCATTCTAGAATCAGCAAAGATGTTATTTGTCCCATCTCACATGTCAGCCATGTGAGAGCCCAATCACTTCCATTGCTACATGGAAGTGATAGGCGCATCCTACAGCATTGTAGAGTCATGAAGAATGGCCAAAGGTATGAGAGATCTCTCCACTATCAAGTCTATCTGAGAGCTCCAAACATCTGAAAATGGCAGAGAAAGAAACTACCTCTAGGGGTTTCAGTCATAGGAGTCTTTATATGTGGACTAGGATTTTACTAGGAATTTACCTACATCTTTGGCACCATTGATTATCCATTCAAAGCTTTCGTTTTGTTTACTTCCTTCTTTCAATAAAACTTTTTTCCTGTGATATTGTGAACTATTTGCTAGTCTTGATTTGGTTTCCATATACTGGGTAATAGGCAGAGCTATTACAACAGCAAGGCTATTGGGTCTTTTATCAGGTGCTAGCATCTGTGTTACTGCTGGTCCTCTATGGGCCACAGGAGTAGAAGGGAAGATGGCCCTGGGAAAAGATAGGGCTGTATAATCACTAGCTGGCATAGGAAAATAGCCTGCTGGTTAATGCCTCGACCATAAGTCTCTCCCCATTCAGTCCATCCTCCACTCAGCTGTCAAATTGGTCTTCTGAAATTTCCAGGTCTGTTCAGTAAGACTCCAATGACTTCCTATTATCTTCATGATCAAATATAAATTCCTCTGTTTGGCTTTTTAAAAACTTCATAATTGAGCTTCTTCATACCTTTCCAATCTTCTTACACTTTACTCACCTCCACAAACTCTTTTATCTAGTGACACTGTCCTCCTTGCTGTTCCTAGAAAAAGACATCCTGTCTTCCCACTCCAGGAAATTTGACTGGATATCCCCATGCCTGGAATGCTCTCCCTCCTGGTGTCAGCCTCTTGGCTTCCCTAGCCTCCTTCAAGTCTCAGCTAAAATTACATCTATAAGAAGCCTTTCCTAGTCCTCCTTGATCTTAGTGTCTTCCCTCTGAGAGTATTCCCAATTTTTCTTGTCTGTATCTTGCTTATACATAGTTATTTGCATGTTGTCTTCCTTTTTATTTTTTTCATTTTTTTTTTTTAGGCAATTGGGGTTAAGTGACTTGCCCAGGGTCACACAGCTAGTAAGTGTCAAGTGTTTGGTCTGAGGCCGGATTTGAACCTGCCCCCTGTCTTCCTTTTCAGACCGTAAACTCCTTGAGAACAGGTACTGGGTTTTTTTTGCCTTTGCATCCTTAGCATATAGCACGATGCCTAGCACATAGTAGGCATTTAATAAATGCTTGTTAGGGGCAGCTAGGTGGTGCAGTGGATAGAGCACTGGCCCTAAAGTCAGGAGGACCTGAGTTCAAACTCGGCCTCAGGCCAAACACTTGATACTTACTAGCTGTGTGACCCTGGGCAAGTCACTTAACCCCAATTGCCTAAAAAAATTAAGTAAATGCTTGTTGACTAACATTCTAGTTTCTTTCAGGCTGCTTTCCAATTCTCCTAGCAGATTTTTTTTTTGCCTTTTTTTCTCTAGGTGAGGCAGTTGGGGTTAAGTGACTTGCCCAGGGTCACATAGCTAGTACATGTCAAGTGTCTGAGGTCAAATTTGAACTCAGGTCCTCCTGACTCCAAGGCCAGAGCTCTATCTATTGTGCCACCTAACTTCCCCCTCCTAGCAGATTTTGATTAGTGAGGGAGTCCTTATTCTAGTACTCAGAATCTTGGGATTTGTTGAACACTATGCAACTATGTTCCTTTCTTTCCGTATATTGGATTCCTAATCTATTCCAGTGATCAATTTTTCTATTTTTTAACCAGTACTGAATAGTTTTGATGATTATTGCTCTGTAGGAACATTTGAGATCTGGTACAGCTAGGCCTTTTTGCTTCCCACCTTTTTCCATTATTTCTCTTTAAATTCTCCACCAACTTATATTCTCTTGGGGAGATAACATATACATATATAAGTATATACAAAAAATATACAAAGTGAATGCAAGTTAGTTTGGGGAGAAACAGCACTAGAAGCTTGTAGGTATCAAGAAAGGCTTCATGTAGAAAATGGTGACACATCTGAGTTTTTCAAGGAAACCAGGTCTTCCAACAGGCAGAGGTGAGAAGGTAGTGTGCTCTAAAGACAGGGAACAGCCAGTGCAAAGACATGGAAAAGAGAAATGGAATATTATATGTGAAAAAAACAAATAAGCCAGTATGGCCAGACCATTGAGTATGAAAAGGGCGATAATATTTTTAAAAAAATGGAAAGGTAAGAAGAGGCCAGGTTATGAACACCTGTAAATGTCAAACAGAGGAGTTTATGGTTGATCTGAGAGGTAATAAGAAGCCATTAGAATTTGTTGAGTAGAAGGAAGGCATGATCCAACCTGCTCTTTAAGAAAATGACTGGCAGCTGTGTGAAGGATGAATCATAGTAGGGAGAGACTTGAATCAAAGAGAGCAAACAGGAGGCTGTTGCAGTGACCTAGAGGAGAGGTGATGAAGGCATGAGTGGTGGCTGCATCAGTGGAGAGAAGAGAACATACGTGAAAGATATACAACTGGAATTTCTTTCATTCAAATGATTTCTATGAACTTCCAGGTTTCATTGTTAATGACTGACTTAGTCTCACTAGCTAATAGATGGCCCTTCTGGAAATACTCAAGGAGATGACTGACATTTAGAAGGTCCATCTTTAGCATCTTTCAGAGACTTTAGTGACAATCATAAAATCTTTCTTTTGGGGGGGGGCACTATGGAGATTAAGTGACTTGCCCAGGGTCACACAGGTAGGTAGTAAGTGTTATATGTCTGAGGCTAGATATGAACTGAGGTCCTCCTGAATCCAGGGCCAGTGCTCTATCTACTGCACCACCTAGCTGCCCCTATAAAATGTCTTTTTAAAAAGCTTTATTCATGCCTTTTCTTTTAAAATTGCAATCATTTCTTGATTGTGCAAGGTGGCACAGAGGGATAGAGCACTGGACCTGGAGTCAGGAAGACCTGAGTTAAAATCTAGCTTCTGACAATCACTACTAACTGTGAACCCAAACAAGTCACTTAACCACTGTTTGCCTCAGTTTCCTTATCTGTAAAATGAGGATAATAATGCAACTACCTCTCAGGGTTGTTGCAAGGATGAAATGAAATAATAATGGTAAAGTGCTTAGCACAGTGCCTGGCACAAAGTAAGTACTAAATAAATGCTAGCTATTGTTTATCATCATCATTATTATTACATATTCTTCCCTTCGTCCAGTTCACCCGCCCTCCTAACCAGTGAACCTTCCTTTGTGACAAAGGGGGAAAAAAAACAGTTAAGCAAAACAAACAATGCATCACCCTTTCCTGTCAGGCTGTGCAACATTCTATGCCGAGAGTCTCCCACTTCTCCATTGAAAGGAGAAAGAACTATAGAACATTAAAGTTGGAAAGTACCTTAGAGGTCATGTAGTCCAACCTCATAGGATCATAAATTCAGTGCCAGAAAGAATCAGAGGCCATTTTATAGGAATGAGGAGACAAGTGCCTAAGGAGGATGTGATTCGCACAGGTAGCAAGTATCAGAGTGGATTTTGAATTCAGGTCCTCTGCCTCCTCTTTGGTGTGCTTGTTTCCCTGCATCATACTGCTTCTCTTCATTTTCATGCTGGAAACTTCTCTATGCTATCGCTATGACAGGTAGCCATCCAGCCTGTGACTGAGTACTTCTGGTGAA